CATTTGTTGCCAAAAAAACGGAGTGAAAACTTGAAACAATCTTTTTTATTCCAGTTTAATCGCATTGTGTTAATGCGCTTTTAGTGTCTCATTGATTAAATGCGGCATGTTTGAACTGTTTAAAAAAGTTTTAAGATTTAAATTGATTTTGAATAAGAAATCAAGGGTTTCAAGAAATTAACATGAAACTTCGGGAAAAAAAAATTTTTGGAAAAAAAGTAAAATTTCGAAGAATCAAAAATTTTTGGCACTGCAAAAATTAGCATTAAATCAGGATTTTTTCTGATAGCACGCTCATTCGTTTGAAAATTAACAATTTTTGGTTTCTAAAAACCAGTCACAGACGAAAAATTAGCGTTCCAGTTTTTGTAAAAAGTGACGAATATATGTGCGTGGTATGGTTTTTTATTCACTCAGTTTTTGACTTTCACTCTAGCGTTTTTTGATGGATTGTCTTAGAACAATTGAGAGATATTTGATATTTTTGTTTATGGATAAAATAAATAGAAAGGAAGAATTAATTTGTTTGTAAATTAAAAGGGGCGCTTGGAACTTGCCAATTTGGCCAATCTTATTACAGAATCAATTCAAACTGAATATAGGCTAGTCATTTAAGCAAAATTGTAGGATGATTAATTTGGAAATACTACCGGTTGTAAAAGAGTTGTCTACTTTTCTTGTTTGGTACATTTTCTCACAATTGCGTTTAATGAATTTTACCTAGTATTTAGAACTTTTGCGAAGTATGCTTGTAGACTTTAGCATTTTTGATGTATCAATCAAGTAAACTAAAACCCTGAAATTTTGTAATTGGTCATTTTTTGCAGCCGCAACATTCAGGGCTTTGCCTTGATGTACGAGCAGTCTTGATTGGTTCAAAAAGCAGCGTGACATTAAGGGATTTTTTTGGATAGTATAAGTTTTCTTGTTATGATAGCTAACGGCTTTTGATTTTTGAAATTGAGTCAAATTTTTCTGTTCTTATTTTTGAAGAAAATGATGAATATTTGAGCGTGAGTGGTTTTTTTATTTGACCAATTTTCAAACTTTCACCTCAGTTTTTTTGATGGTTTTTTTTAAATAATTTTTTGTTCATGGATCAAAAAAAAAGAAAAATTAATAAATAAATTTTTTGTAAAATTTTGGGGGGTATTTACAAATTGTCAATTTGGCCAATTGGAGATTATTTACACCAGACAAGTTGCTTTTTTATTACAGATTCATTGATTTCAATTCAAACTGAATTTAGGCGTGTCATTTAACCAATATTGTAGGATGCGAAAAGCTAAATATATAATTTTGTGTATCTTACATATCTTTTGTGGAGATCAAAGGGGAAAAACCATTATTCCATCAATTTTTTCAAACAAAAGGGTGCCAATTAACATATTTGAAATCTCAAGAAAAATAAATCACATTATTTGTCCCTACATTTTGGTTGCTAAGGTGCGGTGCGTAGCAATTATAGTTTGCAGCTCTGTTTACTTTGGAAAACTGCCAGTGTAAAGTTGTTCATTGCTTGTTTGGTACTTTCTCTCACAATTACGGTTGATCGATATTTGGAAGTGTTTTCATTAGGGAATACAGCAATTTTGAGGGACTACTCAAGTAAACTACAACTACGAACATTTTTTAACTGGTTTTGAAATGTAGTCGCAACAATCAGGGCTTCGCCTCGATGTACGAGCAGTTTTGTTTCGTTCAAGCAGCAGCATAATACTAGGGGTTTCTTTATGATAGCAGCAGGCTTGTTGTTAGGATAGCTAGTGGCTTTTGGTATTTGAAAATGAGTGGAAAAATTTTTGTTCCATTTTTTGAGAAAATGATGAACTATTGAGCGTGAGTTCGTTTTTGTTTCACTTAGTTTTCGACTTTTTACTAAAGCGTTTTTGAAGAATTTTTTTAAACCATCTGAAAGATATTTTTGTTCACTGATTAGGCTAATAGAAAGTATCATTAGTGATTGTTTTTTGGAGAGTTACGGTCATTTGGAAATTGGAATTTTGGCCAAGATAGAACAATTAATGCCAGATAAATAGCATTCTAATTACATGCCTAAGCGGCTAATTAAAGTGGAACTTATGCGAGTCTATTTGATCAAATTTGTAAGATGCGAGAAGTTAAATATGGGTGCCGGACATCAAGCCGACGGGACTTCAAGCCGAATCGTAAAATTAGGGACTTCAAGCCGAAAATTTTCTCATTAAATGATGAAATAGGATTAATTTGAAAACTTTTTAAAAAAATTTCCTACTGTTATGATTTTTTTTTTCAGTAATCATTGGCTTTTTCATAAAATTTAAGCCTCCAAATGATGTTTAGGAAAGTTGAAACATAAAACACGGTTGAAGGCAATTTTCTTGTTTATAATTTATGCATTTCAAAAACTGTCTGAAATTATTAACGAGCGCCAATTCTAAGTGATTCGTTGTCATGAATAACGCCTATTATGGATTAAACTTGCCTTAATTTTTGAAAAGCAACGTTTTTCAGATGAAAAAATTGTAATTTGAGGTGCATGTAAAGTTTAAATTTCGGCCGGAAGTCCCTTCGGCTTGAAGTCCCGTCGGCTTGTTGTCCTAGACCCGTTAAATATATCCCTGTGTTCTGTACACAGCTTGTGAGGAGATTAAAGGGAAAACATTGATTATTTAATCATTTTTTCAATGCAAAACTGGTACTAGATCACATGTTTGAGTCCTCAACAAAACTATTTCTCACAATTGGTCCCTACCTTTTGGTTGCTAAGATGCGAAGCGTAGCAATTATAACTCACAGGTCTGTTTACTTTGGAAAAACTACCGAGTCAAAGGGTTTGTCTACACTGCCTGTTTGGTACGTTCTCTCACAATTGCGGTTGATCGATACTTCATAGTGTTTGCGATTTTCAATTTTGATTACAGCGTTTTTGAGGGCCCAATCAGGTAAACTAAAATTCTGAAGTGGGTCTTGAAGTCCAGTCGCAACATTCAGGACTTTGCCTTGATGTACAAGCAAGAGCCTTGTTTGGTTTTAAACAACTGTCACCCAAAAAACTAAGATGTTTCATCCACATACTGTCTTTAGATGGTTTTTATATGAGTATGTATGTTTCCATCTGAGCTTTAATTTCTAAAAAGAGGTGGACTGCCCTCCGAAAAAAATTTGGGCTTGAGTAAGAATTGCACGAAAGAAGCCCATTGCTTAAATCTGTTTTTTGCTGTAATAGTTGGAGAAAAAAATGTTAAGTTCTGATAACGATTGCAGACTTAACTGACACCAATCACTTAGAATCAATTTCTTTCAATTACAGCAATCAAAGTCCAAATTTTTGTATAGTAATCAGACTTTTACATTTCTTCATTTTCAGATGCTTCGATGTTTTCTTTGTTTTCAATTTGGTCAGGTTATAAAAATGAGTTATTCCTAATATAACATTTCCAAGCTACGCTATTTTAACCGACCTGCCGTTATATGGTATTTAACTTTAAATAATTTTTTTTCCCATGTTGAAAATTAAACAGTTACCCAATAAAGACTAATTTGAATCCAGATTTTTAGAGTGGTTGTTGATAGAGTGGTTGTTTTAATCACAGCAGGCTCATTTTTAGTTGAAGAAAATGCGCTCAGCAGATAACACAGGTGTTAGATGAAAATGGAACTGGAAATCATTCATTAAAATGTTACCAGCTGAGTTACAAAACGGTATACTTACCAAAGCAATGTGGTACTTTTTGCTCCTCACAAAATTCGCTCCAATTTTTTCGAACCTAATTCTTTCACGCATTTTGCCCCGAAATTTTTGCCCATTGTTTTTACTACATTTCTCTCATAATATTAATATGACGTTTAATAGACGTCAATATAAATTCTCTGCGGGTGGCATGGCGTTGGATACGACAACGCTAGCCGTTCTCACAAACAGTAAGTGTCCATGAACTGACAAGCACACAACTCGTATCAGTCCTATGTATCAGTCCGATTTTATTCAATTTTGTTGGGCTAAGTTGAGTGGGGGCTAAATTTGGCATTGACGGGCTCCAGTTGTATTGGTGACCCAGCAAACATATGGTAGCGGGTTCAGTTTGAACATACACGGCAATCAGCAAGGCGAGCTCTTACAAGTTAGTCATAGTTTAGTGGTTATAGTTAAGTGAGCTCTTGTCAACTTAAATAATTAAACTTCTGGGTTAGGCCTATGGCTGGTAGACTGGAAAAAAAATGGGCCGATGGTTCTGTTAGGGGCGAAATGTTGAAATGTGCCAATAAATTTAATAGGGGCAAGTTATTTATTGGGCGAAATGTGCGAGTACCACTTATTATTTCAGCTGATTAGAAAACTATTTCTGAAAACTATTTCTGAAAATTATTTCTGAAAATTTGGTTCTGATAATTATGTCAGCTGATTAAATTTTCGAAATTTTTTTCAAATCTAAAGTTTTTTTGCCATCTTTTTTAGCTGGTTTTTTCTTTCCACTTAAACTTTTCCTATATATAAAATGAATTTACAAAAAAAGTTAGGCCCTCCACATAGTGCATGCAGTTTCCGAAGATCTGAGATAGACTGAACGGGAAATTTACGTCAAATGTAGGATGAACAAAAAAAAACTGTTCATTTCTTTTGAAAAAATTATCTTCAGGGCTGAAAAGAAGACTGTTAAAGTGTATTTTCACCATTTAAAAAGGCGGAAAAGAAATGTGTCTTCTAATTATCGCAACATACTGCTGATCCGTCACCAGAGGTGTGCTTTTGGCTCCCCGCAGCTTTTCACGAATCCATTTTAATGATTAAATATATTTTAAAAACACTTATCTGAATAAAATGACAAAAAACTGCTTTAGTGCAATGAAAAAATGATTTTTTTTTAAAATCTCAAGTTAATAGCTTATGACATATGTCTTTGATAGAGATCGGAGAGTTATAACTTGTTCAATTCCTTCATTTTGAAAGAAAAACTTAAAAGCGGCTTTTTGTTTGTAAATATGGCGTTGTATTTATTTAGTACTTTATATTATTAAAATATTTCAATAATCCGCGTCCACATATAATTTCATTACCAACAAAGTGGTCTGAAAAAAAAACAATGTAACTGACCAAATGAACAATTTCCCTCTAAATTATTTCAGGGAGAAGAGATAGATATGATAATTCACTTAAAAGCATATTTTTTCAGCCAATCAGAACTCAGCATTTTGCACGTTGGCTTTACTTCTTAACTTTACCAATTATTTTTAGGGGGGCTTGCGCGTTCACTTGCTAGCTAATTAAGGAAATTGTTCACATATAGGCCATCGAAGCTTTCTTAATCTTCCTCTTCAGTCAAAGGAAAATAAACACGATCAGTGTTTACGGACTTTCCTAGTTCTAGATTTTGGAAGAATAAACATTTCTACTTTGAGACCGGAGTTCTGCAATTTTTTTTCGTCGCTTATTTTTTTTTCTCTTATAAACAAATTTAAAAAATCAGCGGGAAGTTTTTGAAAGTATCTCAAAAAGTATTTATTCGTGTTTGCTCAAGTATTTTCTGGCTCCAAAGAGTGAGTTTTTAACCAGCTGCTCGCTGAAATTTATTCATTATTTATTATTTAGCGTCTCTATAGTTTTATGCCTAAACAATATATCAATTCACTGCATATGGGCTTAGCTTTAACTTTTTGAGAAAATTTTGAAAAATATTTCTTTATCAAGTCATGGCAGTTATTGCCAAAAAATTTCGTCATTTTTCCTAAACCAAATGAACTGACCGTTTATCCATGAAATAAATAATATTTAAATCTTTGATTAACTTGCAAAATTCCCCCAACATTTTGTGTGTAAAAATTCATTATTACTGACAATTCTTAATTATCATTATCTTGAGACCTTTATAATTAAAAATATGTTTACGCTAATTTGCTCAAGAAAAATTATTTCAAGTCAAGTTTCATAAGTGAAGCAGTGAACCACTTTCTCACCTATGAAACAGGGAACAACAAGGATTGTAAACAAATCGCACATATTCGTTTTATGATCAATCACTTTAAATTATTATCAAGTTATAGCTTTTAAGAGCGAATTGTGAAGAAGTAGTATCGATTTCAGTTCTTTGCTTCTTGTTGCGAGTAAAATTATTCTTATTTTTATTTGCACAAGTATTCAGTGTTTATTTGGTGTCTGCAGATTCAAAAATTGGGGTTTTTCCGGTTATACCCCCTAAATAATGCAAAAAATTATTTTTTTTTTATTTTACTACGAAACAACGGTGATATCCAGAACATTGAGTAAACCCGAAAAACTGCAAAAAAAACGGCGATTCAGAACGCATTTGGATCATATTTGTGAAACTTATATTAAAAAAAAACAACAAAAAAAAACAAGAAAAAGGACCTGTTTTACGCTAAATTAGATAAAATTGCTTCGTTTCGGCCTGCGCAATTGATTTCTTAGCCTAAGCCAGCTTTTCGAAGTTATATTGATACATTTTGCAACAAAACTTGATTTCGAATTTTCATCATTTAGGGGGCAAAACCGAAATTTTTTTTTTTCATTTAAATACATGTCTGAAACATGAAAAATTCGATTAGTAAAAAATAGTTTTCATTGATATCCAAAAATTCTTTTATAGCCATAAAAATTTTTCAGCATTACCTTGGTTATACCATATTTTAAGTTAAAAGAAAATCGATATCATTATCTTCATTATTTTAGCGTATGTCAATGTCATATTATTTTGTCTTTCAGTAAGTTATCGACATTTTCCAGCATTATCTTATATAATTTTACCATTACATTTACTTCAAAGGGCAGGAAATTGTTTTCTTCCTGACTTAATTTTGCGTGAACAGATTGTCTTTTCATGCTGTCATTTTTGATTTCATCTCTTATATTTTACTTTCCTTCAGTGATTGTCGTAAGTGCATATGCCTCCAGAAAAGGGCGGGGGCGACCATGGTAGTCCAATCAAGCCGGCGTCCGGTTTTTGTCTGTTCCGGATGCCCGCAACTCTCTCCGACCTGGCAGAGGCAGTGTTCTATCTCGTGCTGCTATGTTGTCTGTTACTGTCAGTAGCTGTCACCATCAGGTCTTTTATCGCCACAGGGTCCAATGTGACCAACTTCGAACTCAGAGATGTAAATCAACATGTGCACCCTTGTAAGTTTGTTTGTAAACTTCGGATCTCTCTTAATATAGTTCCCCTCTTTGGCAAAAAAGGGGTTCGTTGCTATGTTTTCAAAATTCCCATATCCTTAGCCGTTGAATTAGTTCTTTATAGGGGCGACAACAGGGCCTCTCAAAAATAAATTCCACTCCAATTAATTGCAATCAATTGTCAATTTTGAAAGGCGCAATGTGTTGATTGCTAACAGAGAACATTGCAATTAATTGATTGCGAGAGAGCAATTATTAGAAAGCAATTCTTGGCCGGGGAATAAGGAACAAATTTGACCGGCTGCTGTGATTTGGTTGCTGCTGCCTGTTTGCTTTGCTTTCTGTTTGCGTTGTCTATTCTCTATTAGCAGTTCTCTATTTTCGGCAAAATGAGTGCGACAACCAGAAACGTTTTTGCATGAAGTTTTCTGTGTCAAAAGTTTCAAAACTTTAAGTTTCTCGTCTGGGTTTTGTCCAGTTATATGGGGTGGTAAGTTCGTGAAATTTTGGATAGCTATTTTGAAACACCGGGATATAAACTTGGCAAAATATCTCTCAGCCGATGCTAATATTGTTCACAGTCCAAATTTCGAAAAAGCTATCGCGAAAGTTCACAACAACCAGGAAAATGTGCTCTTCGCAACCGAAAAAGCCCTTTTGTCAGGTTTACTGAACGAAATTCCAATCGAAGTTGAGGAAGTCCTTTCAAAACAGATGAATTTGCCGAAGCCGTTCTTAAAAAGAGAAGACTCGAGATGTCTCAAAAAATTGTTAAAAGCAGTTTCTTTAATACAAAGTTCATTCTGCCCACATCTAACCTGATTGAGAGATTTTACAGGAGAAGAATATTCATTTAACGATTTGCGGCAAAGTCTGTTGCCGCAAAATTTGTAGATGCAGCTGTTTTTGAAACCAAACGAGTCATTCTGGACAGAAAAGAGCGTTTCCCGAGCGATTAACTCAGGAACATGAAGCATTTCAATTAATTACAATTATTTGCAGTATATTGGTTTTCAACACTCTTTCCTTGCAATTAATTGATTTTTGCTCAAACAATTGATTTTTTTATTGTGCAATCAATAATTGAGAAACTCTGAGTCACCATTTGTTACTAGGTATAGGGGGTTCGATCCGATCATTCGAAAAGCCTGGTAAACAAATCTTCTCATAGACATTAAAATGTAACTTCTCCCGGAAGTGCTTTTTTTATTCGATCCTTCTATCCTGTACCCAACGAAGTATTTTATTTTTGACGAGAAATACTTGTTTCCTGATCAGAAATCTTAGCCAGAAAAAAACGTTTCTTAATTAAATGTATTTTTTCCATAATACATTATTTCAAATCTGATTGCTGGTCATAATTTATCTAAAGGCCATTTCTAACCAGAAATATAGTCCTGGGGGAATTGGAACCTCCATTTGCCTGCTTAGTAGACAATCTCGTCAAACTGTAAGTCACAACCAGGCCAGAGATCCACAAGTTATCGCGCAACAATTGCTACTCAAATGGGTGCGACCATGACGACTCAAAGCATATATATTAGAATCATCGCGACTCAAAACGGTTATGTCGTCACATTGTGCAATCAAAAAGCTTTGAGGGACTTTGTGTGACCGTGAAGATGGTTGACCAGAACAAAACATATTTTTCCCTGAAATATTATTTAATTGTAGTGAAACCAGAGGTTCTCCAATAGTTTGCAGGGCATATAGTGAACTTTTGTTCCAAATCTGTTTTGAAAATTAAACCAGTATTTCGATTATGCAAAAGCTATTATTATTTTCAGCGAGAACCCTTATTTTTTAAACTTCAACAGGTATTCCCTCGAAACTTCTACAGTTTGCGGTAAAAACTCTCCTTGAGAGACGGGAAAGCTCTACTTGAGAGACGAGACTTTGCACGACCGTTGCTCGCTATGCCGCGACTTCGTGCAACTGCTGAGTTTTCCGCGACTTCGAAACTCGACGCAAGCTTTACGGATTTGTACTGGCGTGATAAGAAGCTAGACCACTATGGCCGCGGCGTAAGTCCTGCGAAGACCTCAAAATATTATAGTCGAAGCAAATTAAAGCAACTAATGCTTGGTTAGCTTCGAAGTATAGCCAGTTAATTGCTAATCATTTGCATGTAGAGATTTGAGTGGTGAACTGAGTTTAGATTTAGCAAGAATTTTTTTCTAATTTTAGATAAGAAAATGATTGTTTATGTACAAAAACCAGAAAAAATTAAGAAAGATTATCTATATAAAATTTCTATCCAGTTCAGAAAAATTTTTGGGCACGGACCGTAAGTCCAGCTAGTTGGTGGTCACTAGCCACTGTTTACGAGAACGATAAAGGGCAAATCAGAAAAGTTTTTTCGTGCATAAGCATTACAGTCGAGCTTGGAAAGACTTTTCAGCACCTTCGGAGTTGTTCATTTCAGCCTCAGAAACCAACTGGGAATAGAAAAATGTGTGAAACGTGTGTGTTCTGTTTTTGGGTGCGGAATCAGTAATTTCACTTGAATAAATTAATTTTTGAAACAAAAACTTTTCCAATAAAAATCAATAAACTAAGAAAAAAAATAAAAATTGGATTTAAATCAATTGAGAAGAAACATCAGATTTTTATGCAACTCTGGGTACGGGATACAACATAAAAACTTAATAGAAACTGGGAAACGGGTAAAAGAGGTAAAAGATTCTAGTCCTTTTTTTTTACAAATTTTGACCGAAAAAGTCCAGGACAAGTGTTTTTGTTTCGGGTACATTTGTAAGGCGGTTCAGTAAATTGGGTTTTCTTTACTTTAATTTCGTCGCCTACAATTTCAACTCAGATTTAGGGAACTGCAAATTAGGGAAATCCAAATTCTTTAGTAGCTCTGAATCAAAGAAGTAACAGTTGTTCTCCGCAATGTAATATACATTTTCTTGATAAATTTTCCTTTGAACAAATAATGTCTTCTCTGATGTGGCGTTGTGGAGCATCGGTAATGATGGTGCCCAGCAATCATATGATTGCGGGTTCAGTTCGCACGTATGCTGAAACTTACGAGGCGAGCTCTTGTAAGATAGCCATAGCTTAGTTAACCTTAAAAAATTAACCTTCGAGTTAAGCCTCTGGCTGGTTAACCAAAACATTACAATAAATAAATAACGTTTTCATTTAGAAAAAAAAATGTCTCATTTGATCTTTTCCAGGTTTCTTATTCTTTGGCGTCGGATTCTCTCTGGACGTGTGCAGGAGTCTCAAACTAGTAGCCGGGTCCACTGACTTCACTGGAATGTTGCAGGATGGGGAGTCGTGTGTGTCGAAGAGCTTCAACATCCACTTCACACAGGACATGATGGAGAACTGGGAAGAGCATGAACAACAGTTTAGCAATGGCGAGTCAGATTTCAGCACTACTGTCCGCAAACTCATGCAGAAGAAAATCGACCAGTAAGATATTCATTTTTAGTTGACCTCTTAGTTCTTGTTTTCATTAGTCAAATATTTAAAATTCAGGTTGTGGAAGAGTTTCAAAGTTCTACGAGTGTTTCAGATACACGTTATCAAATAAAAATAAAATTTAGCGCCAAATGTTTTTTCGGATTTTTAGCTTTGATTTGTTAAATTTAACTCCAGGCAACCTATCTTTTACAATTTTTTGCATCATTTATTGTGTGTTTTTGAACCAAACTTGGAGTTCTAACGAGATTCCAATGCCTATCAGAGTTGGATACATTAAATTTGGAAATCACAAATCAAATTTGAGTGTTTATCTTTTTGAAACTATTCGCGCAACGCCATTCGCTGCATACTTTTTGTTAAAACGAACTCTTTGTCTTTTTGTTTAAGAGTAATGCACGTAGTGAGCAGTAGCGGATTTAGGGGGCGGAGGGGGTTCCGCCTCACCCCTCCCCCTCAGGGATTTGACCCCCTGCCGACCCAAAGGGTCCCCCTTTGTATTATTTTGAGGTATCAATGTTTGGCTGACTGACCATAAAAGTTTTCTAAAGGTGCCTTCGGCGCAAATATTTACTAATTTTGAGGGAGGAGCGCGCTCCAAAAAACGCGATTTTTTGGTCGAAGTTTTACAAAAAGTGCCTAAAAACGTTTTTTTTTTGCCTTATTTTCAAAAATTTGCCTGCCGCTCGATAGTGATTTGCAGAGAGCTCAGAAAATCAATTTGGTCGATCTAAAAAAAGATCGACAAAATTTTCAAAACTTTTTTGAAAATCCCCCCCCCCCAGATCGAGAAATTCCTAGATCCGCGCCTGGTAGTGAGTACTCTTCTATAGGTCTTGCTGCTTTTTTTTGTTTTTTTTTTTTCAGAAAAAGTCTTAAAATTTGTTCATGGTAAATTTTGATTTTTCGCGGTTTGACTTTTTGTTTTTTTTTCAAGTTCAGTGCATTTCTATTTTTCATAGGAAGGCAAAATCCACTATCGAACAGCAAAACTGTTAAGGTCACAAAAACGTGATTGACTTCTAATTTCGAAAACGGAGTTTAATTATCAGATTTCCCGGCGAAATAAAAGTTTAACCTATTGATCCAGTTTTCTCATGTCCAATATAATTTGATCTACAAATTCGAAAAGCTTTAAGGCCATCCATTTTTTTTCTTCGAAATTCAAAAATTGAAGAATTTTGAAAAATTAAGTCTGTTTTTTTTTCAATTTCCTCGCGTTCATTACTCTTTTCCAACTATCTTTGGGCTTTGTTTCAATATCATTACATGTACAGTTGGATCCAATTTTTTTTTCATTTTTCTTTGAAAGAAAACAGTGCTAGGTAAAATTTTTGTTGTTGGACCGTCGAGTTTAATGGCCTGCTATCAATCCGCCTCAAATCAATACTCTAAGATGTAGAAGATAAGCGAACATAGCATTACTCAAAATTCAACTACCTGATGTATTCTAGGTTTTAATTCAAAGCAACGGAGGCACTTAGCATGGGGCCTAGGAAATTAGACGAAAAAGCTGATTAGACGTGACCAATAAGTTGAATTTAGACGTCAAAACAAAGCTGCAAATAAGGGAAACAAGACGTAATTGTTTAGTTTATATGCGTGAAACTTGCTTACTGATTTCATTTAACTTAAGTTCGAGCTTTCTTAAATGCGAATCAAATTTTTTACATGTCGCAGCTGTATAGTTTATGCAATTCAAAGTTGTTTCATAATATTTGGATAGGCGTTTTATAATTTTTTTATGATAAATACTTTGATATGCAAAAGGTTTATTAACTCTTTTTTTATTTTTATAAAAACATTTGTTAGCCGTTTGCTTTTTGTCCAAACTGCTAGTTTCCCAAAAAAATTAAGGTCTAAGTTCCGTTTTATTAGAGCCGTCTACTTTGCTTTTTGTGTAATTTCTTAGCCTCCAGTTGGTATAGAGATAAGTTGTTTGCTTTCGATTAAAATGCTGCCTATAGGAATAGCTATTTTGTTCAATAATGGTTCACGGGTGCTTGATTTTTCTTAGATATTTATTACTGGATCCGGCTAAAATGGACATTACAGATCAGTAAATAGTTCATGATAATAACTTTACTGAAAAATCAAAATAACTACTAAAAACTATCAGAAATGCAATACTCCAAACCAATTTGAAACCTTGCTATTTAAAAAACCATCCTTGCTGATTGAATAGCACTCAATATTTCTTTTCAGTCAAATAAATGAATTGTTTCCCGTCGAGAAAAACCGTTCCCGATTTATTTCATTTCCTGAGTGGCAGGAATGTTTTATTCTCTCGCTAGCTCAAAGTTTTCCAAATATTCACAGTTTTTAGCTCCATTATTATGACATACTTTGCTTTCCAGTTTGTTATTAACGCAGAAAAGTGTCTCGAGATTTCGACATTGACTGAACCGATGTATGCTAGATTTTAATTCAAAGCAGCGGAGGCACTTAGCATAAAATTAAAATGTTTCCATTGAGATCGTCAGAGGGAGGGTTATTAGAATGATACCAGGGCAAAGATATTTTGTCAGTAGCAGCTCAGGGGTGGTTTACATTTCATAGATAATTAATGCTGGATCAGCGAACTTTCAAACTCGTACCTCGCTGATTTAGTCCCTGATAAATGATTTTTTATCCATGACAGAGAAACATTTAGCTCTAACTCAGTGGTAGAACTTCAGGGCTTGATCAGCGCTAAACAGTGTTTAAATGATACTGAAAAACCGTGACCACCCAGAATTTTTTGCTAAATCAGCGCTATATCTGGGCTGAAATAACACCGTAAGTTCATGAACATCCCGGATTCTTCGTTATTTACAAGCGCTAGTTCAAGGGCAGAATAATGCGGCAAAAAGCATGAACTGTCATTATTTTGCGCTTAACCAGGGCTGGAATAGAGCTGAAAGAACCATCAACAACCTTGATTTATTACTATTTTGGCGCTAATTTCAAATTAAGATGAAATTTGGAGTTCATTTATCTATTTCAGGAATGTACGTGTATATAAAAGCTAAAGAAAGCTTAAGTTTGTTTCGTGAATGGCAGGGTTGTTCTATCTGTCGTCTGGATTGGGGTAAGTTCCCACTTTTTGCTCAATAGTTTGACAAATTTTGGTTTTCAATTTGTTTTCAACGAAAAATTTTTCTATAGTTTTCAAAATTGCCTGAGTGGTGTGTGCTAGATTTCAATTCAAAGCAGAGGAGGCACTTAGCATAGAAACAAACTGTTTGCTTTGAAAAAGTAAGAGACAGGGTTATAAAAATGCTGCAAAGTATAAGTTATTACAACAGTATCAGCTCCCGGCTTGTTGACTTTTAATAGATATTTTTTGCTGAATAAGCGAATTCTCTGAACTTGCACCTTGCTAATTTAGTCTCTGATAAGTGGCCTTCCTCTATGCTCAAGAAGCAACTGGCTTTGGTTCAGAACTGGATCTTCACGGCTGAATCAGCGCCAACTCAAGTCTGAAAAAATATTGAGAAGCCATGGACATCCCACTGTCCTTGCGTCATTTCAGGGCTGATGAAATGCTGCAAAAATTTGACTGATAATCCTTTATAATCCTCTACTTATAACTCCGGTAAAATCGTAATCCTGAGGAAAATAGTCTGCTAAAAACATTTTGGGCTCTGAAATTCTCAGATAAAAAGAAAGTTTTATTAGAAACCCAGTTTTAATAAAATTTTGAGTTCGCTATGCAAATTGATTGTTAATTGTTGATATAGTTCACTTCATTTCAAAATTGATTTTTTCAGTTTTTGTTCCGGTTTTCGAAATAACAGAATAATTTTGCTTGGTGTGGTTTTTGTGTTTTATTCAGTCAATTTTCAGCAAGTGAAGTAAAATTTCTTGAAAATATGGACTCCGCTAGATAAAAATGAAAAAAGATATATTTTACCTCTAATTGTTTTTCGAAAAGTTCTGGGGGGTTTGAAACTAGCCAATTTGGAAAAGCTCTAGACTAATTTAAGCGTCTTTGAAGATATCATCCATAATGCTGAAAGCGCAAAACGAATTATTTATGCGTGGGGTGGCGTAATATCCCAAACAAAAAAGTAGTTTTGAATTGAATTAAGGCTAGCTAATTGGTCATATTCATTTCGTACGACTAAGACTTTCACACTTGTACTTATATTGTCCATATTTTCCGATATTTGCTTATAGTTTTCCGATATTTTCTTTTTCCAAAAACTATTCGAGACCAATAAAAGGGCAGTCGGAACATCCAGGGATGTGCCTTAATATACCAGCAAAATTGTTTTATTGTTTCGACTTTTGTAACGAAAGTAACGAAATATTTGTGCCCGGGGTGGGTTTTTTTTCTTCAGACAAATTTCGACTTCCTAACTAGCCATTTTTGACAGAACTTTTTTATATCATTCGAAAAATATTGTTGTCCTGAGCTCAAATTTGAAAAGATATTTCAACTGTGACCATTTTTTGTAAAGTTATGGGGGTTTAAAAATTGCCATTTTGCCAATTTGGGACAATTAACGCGGATATTTTGCGCCATCAAAGCGTAAGTTGAGATTTAATCCGTCTTAGAAATTGTTCCAAATTGGTTGAAGGAAGCGTATATGCCAAATTGATTTGTTAATGGGAGCGAAATCTATCACTTTGTCCTTTATATGGCGTGTGGGGGGATGACTTTTACAAAAATCTCAATAAAAAAAAACGGTTCATTTTTTTACATTTAATTTGTTTCATGTTATTACTGCTCAATAGACCTTAGAAGGCAGTCAGAACCTTCAGGGCTTCGCCCTGATACGAGCAGTCTTGTTTTATTTCACAATTGATTTACTTCATTTATTTACTTGATTTCTTTGCAGAATTTTCTTTCGATAGATAAATTTATATTAAGAATTAATTGGCAATTTCAAAATCCTATAATTTCATCAAATAACAGTTTAATGGCATCTTTGAATTAACTAAAATGGCTTGAAGGAAAAACCACCACGAGCGTTGATTTTCAGTTTCCATCGTCCGAAGCGGGA